AAACAAACGCTAATTACATGGATTGTAACCCAACTAGGATGGGTCTAAACCTGTCCAGTTTAACTTTGGTAGCTGGTTTAGTAAGTATGTCTGCCACCATATGTTCTGTTTGACAATAAACAATGTCTATTTTACCACTTATAAGTACTTCTCGTAAGAAATGATACTTAATGTCAATATGTTTGCATCTTTGTCTACTTACCGGATTTTTACTTAATTAAGGCTATTGCCCCTTCATTATCCTCATTATATTCGCGTGCATGTATATATTTTGCTATCCATACTGTTAAGTAACTGCATCAAATATAAACTTTCCTGAGTATAGTGGCTGCTAAACTTACATACTCTGCTTCACAAGTTGAAAGCGCAATTGTGGGTTGCTTCTTAGACTTCCACAATATGGGAGGACCATTCTCTGTTAAGCTAAAACAGTACCCTTTTGTACTGTGTCGATCATCCAACGAAGATGCCCAGTCAGCGTCTGTATAAGCAATAAGATTATGCTCGCCATCTCACTTTCTAAAACACAACTCATGCTCCATGCTGCCCTTTAAATATCTCAGTACATGCTTTGCAGTCACTAAATCTTCCATCCTGGGACATGACAATTTTTGAGATAGCTTGCTAACCACCCAACTAATATCTGGTCTGGTACATGTCATCAAGTAAATCAGACTACCTACAATCTCTCTATATCTCCTTGGGTCTACCTGTTCACTATCACTCATGCCCTCAAATCAGCTCTGCTCGCATGGGGTTGTTCTAGGATACAATGAGACATACCAAATCTATCTAGTATTTTCTGAATATATCTTTTCTGATTCATTTTAATAACTCCACTTTCTTGTTTGAAGCTAATACCCAAGAAATAAGAAATTTCTTCCAAGTCTTTCATCCTGAATTTAGATTTCATGTTTTCCTTGAATTGACTGATCTTATCTGTGTTATTTGAAGCTATAATCAGATCATCAACCCATATAACTACAATTACGATATCTCCACCCGTTTGTTTTTGATAAACACAATGGTCGACTGGATTTCTAACAAATCCATCACTTATCAAGTACCCGTCTAACACCCTATTCCAGTTCCTACCCGACTGCTTAAGACCATAAAGAGATTTCTTCAACCTGTAGACTAATTTGACACCTTTCTCTGACAACTCTTCAAAGCCCATAGATTGCTCCATGAACATTTCATGGTCAATACGAGCATGAAAGAAAGCTATTTTTGACATCCATCTGATGAACAGTAAGATCATATTGAGCAGCAAGTAGCATAAGGATTCTGATTGATGTAATGTTAAACAGGCAGTTGGGAAAAATATTTCCTCATAGTCAATACCATGCACTTGACTGTACCCTTTTGCAACATATCTTGCTTTCAAATGTTTCCAAACCATTTGCATCCTCCTTGATGGTATAAACCCATCTTCCCCCCTCCCCCCCCCCATTAAATTCTTACCTTCTGGTAAGGTGGTTAATTCAAACGTGTCATTCTCCTTAAGTGCTTCCATCTCACCTTTCATGGCCTTCTCCCACCCTGAAGCTTCAGGGGACTCCATAGCTTCAGTGTACGTTTGTAGCACACCGCAAACTTTATAACAATAATCAACATTTACATTGGCTGAATTATTAACTCCAAAATATTGTGGGGCTTTTCTCTCCCTCTGAGGATAAACCTTAGCCTCATGATCATCTTCAACATCTTTACTATCTTCAACACCTAACTGTGGCCCTTCGCCTAAATCTAAGTTTTCAACAATTTCTTCAGTTTCGGAAAAATCTTTTTTCCTGTCCCTGAACATCATTTGGGGAAATTTCATTTTCCTCCTTTCTACAAAGGCCTAGATCATCAATTTCAATCTGTGTGCATTGATCTGCAATGGTATTCTTAATAAACTTTACTAATCTGTGTTTTATGACTTTACCACACTGTGGGTGATAAACAAGGTAGGCTTGGCTGTTCTTATCATAACCGACAAATACTCCTTTCATACCTTTCATATTTCCTTGTTTTACTTTTGTAGCTTCTTGGTCTTTTCGTTGGTGTCTTCGACAGGTACTATCACTATGCGTTGTTGACTTGTGCTACGAGCACCACTTTCTTGTTTCACTCCCAGTTTTGTCAGGACAATCCTTCATGATATGACCTTTGCGACCACAAGCATAACATGTGACATAACTGGTTGCAGAAAACGATGGGGACTCAGTTTTCATTACTTTATCAGTCTTTGGCTTACAATTAAACTTCTCTGTTTCTTCAAAGCTTTTGAGTTGAGACTTGAACATAGCAAATGTAATTTCACTTGTACTTTGTGTAATATGGACAACAAAGGGTTTGTATGAATCAGGTAAACCTTTTAATATCATGGCAATAACAAGCCCGTCACTAAGTGAGTGTCTCTTTAGCGTTTTTCAGGGCCATATCGATCTTTCTGCTTGTATTAGATAGTCGTCTGTCACTGTCTCGCTTGTTCCTTTCTCGAGTGACGCGAGCTCAGTATAAAGTGCTATTATTCTAGGTTTACCTTGGCTTGCGTAGTGGTCTCGTAAAATCTTTAAGGTTTTCCTTCCATCGCCAGCGGCATCTCTCATCACTAACGATAGGCTAGTATCATCCAAAATTAATTTGTACCTTTGCACTATATGGAATCTTGTGACGAGCAATTCCAGTATTTTTCCACCATCGTAGATAAATCATAAACGAACATTTACCTTGGAAACAAATCAAAATCGATTCTAGTGACAAGCCTTGGATTACTTCCGAAATAAAATCTCTTATTTCCAAGCGGCAGACAGCATGGGCGGCTGGCAACAACCTGATGTTCAGATTCTATCGAAACAAAGTCAATGCACTTTGCAAGAAGGCACGACTAAATTACTAGAATAAAAGTATCGCGGGCGTTCAACAGTCCGATTCTCGTAAATGGTGGTCAGCGGTGAAGAATATTGCCGGACTTCAGTCTTCTAAGAATGTACCTACAAAAATGTTCGAAGGTAAATCTTATTCTGATGCGGATCTAGCAAATTTGCCCAATGACAAGTTCGTTCCTGTAGGGTCAGGCTCCTTACCCAGTCTGAACTGGTTCCCCCCTTTCCACAAATGACATTCCAGATTATTTCTGTATCTCTGTCGAGGAGACTGAAAAGGCTCTAATATCATCTAAACTTCATTCATCTGCTGGTCCCGATGAAATTCCTTCTTGTCTTCTCCGGGAAAACGCTTCAGTGTTGTGTCGACCTTTGTGTTCCATTTTTAATTCATCAGTTCGTGAAGGATTTGTTCCCTCAATATCGAAGGCAGCAAATGTTACACCAATTCAAAAAACCTTCGCCCCCTAAAGATGTTAATTCTGACTTCAGACCAATCTCCCTCACACCAATTATCAGCAAGATTCTTGAATCCTTTCCCTACAAATGGCTTCTTAACTCCGTCTCAAAAAAAATTGATCCCTTGCAATTTTGTTCGCTGAAGGGTTCAAGCACTAGTATGGCATTAATCTACATGCTACATAAATGGTATGAAGCAGCTGACAAACAAAGTAACATTATACAGATTTGTTTACTTGATTTTCCAAGGCGTTTGATCGATTAGATCATAACATTCTTTTGAAAAAATTGAAAGACATGGAAATTCATCCCGTGTTACTCAACTGGATCGCAAACTTTCTAACAGACAGACAACAAAGAACCCGTGTTGGTCAGTTCTTTTCTGAGTGGAAGTTTTTAAACGCCGGCGTTCCACAAGGAACAAAGCTTGGCCCGCTATTATTTTTGATTATGATCAATGACTTGGCTGTGGCGGATGAAACTGTTAAATTTGTTGTTGATACTAGCCTTTGGGAAATAATATCAAACAATTCCCCATCCCAGTTACCTGCTAACGTCATCAGCTGCTCTGAATGGTCATCTGTCAATAATATGAAGTTAGATGTATCAAAGACCAAAGAATTGCGTGTCTGCTTTTCTAAGCTTATTCCATCGTTTGCCCCTATTACCATCCGTGGTCAAGTGGTCGACGTCGCTTCCGAGGCCAAATTATTGGGAGTTGTTATTTCAGACGATCTTAAATGGAACCACCATATTGACTACATTTGCAAGAAAGCCGCGAAGCGTTTGTATGGTCAGCGTCTTCTCAAAAGAAATGCTTTACCTTCTCATATCCTGATCTCAACCTATTGCACACCTATTCGGCCAATTGTGGAATATGCTTGTCAGGTGTGGCATGCATTATGGCCTTCCTCAGTACCTGAGTGATCAAGTCAAAAAAATCCAAAAAAGGGCATTAAAAATTATTTTTCCTGGAACTACCTATAGGCCGTTTGCCGTGACCTAAAAATATGCCTAGAAAACGATTTTCATTAAGCATGTCGTGGAACTGAAATATTTTCACGGTAACTAACATTTTCGAACACTCTGAATTCAAATCCGAAAAGTTGCCGCTCCGTAGACCCGCAGTTTTTTCACAAATTGCATTTGTATTTTCAGTTCTTCGACGAACAAAAATAAATACGCGCCATTTTGAAATTAAATAACATCATTCAGAGTATGCCGTTTTTGCTCCCCAGTCTCCGATGCTCATGACCGAGTGACCGAGTTTAAGATTTAGAGCAATGTTATTAAATTTCCTGCAAAACAAACACAGTCACGTGGTTTTAAAAATGGCTAGTCTGAGTGATTTTCAGTTTATTTGCCAGCAAAATCGCTAAAGAATGAGAAATAAAGTTTAAATTATTTATTTGGCAGAGAAAAGCAATAAGGTAGGTGTTCTCTGTGTATATTTTTTGAGTTTGTTTAAGGCTAAATGGCCTATACAAGAACAAACAAGTGATTAAGTGAACAACCATCACGATTTATTCAGGTTAGCTCTCATGCAGACACATATAAGGAACGGATTAAGGCCAGTCTGCTTGAAAACTCACAGTAAAATTGTTCCATATCAAGTTTGCTGTTTATGGGAATTATTGTTGGTCATAAGGTGTAATAGTAAGCAGTGGCGTAGCTAGCGGTCCTGCTTGTCCTGCCCAGCAGGACTAAAAATTTCCCAAAATTTCCGTACTAAAGCATTGCTTTATTTATCTTGAAGCTTTAAAAATTTATCATTATCATATTGTTATTTTGTCTCATTTTCTCGTCTTTTTCGTTATTATTTTTTTAAAAGTTTTTCGCATTCTGTTATATTTACGCAATTTTACAGCTTGCCGTGTCTGTTACCTAGCAACTGCAACTCTACATTGATTTACACGCGACTCGTATTTCAGTCCTGCCATTTTCAAATGGCAGGACTTGCTAGTATATTTCATAGTAAATTCATACAATAAATCTTGGTTTCCGATTGGATAATTAGGTCTGCGCATGCTCAAACCGACTGTTTACAAATGCGAAGTCCTGCTCTCTCGAAATGGCAGGACTTGGCCTTGTATTGTCTTTACTTGCGAGCTTTCCGCGTGACTAAACCCACTATTTACTAATTCTGTCGAGATTACTCAAGTTATGAATATGGAAATCAACGAGTGTGGAAGCCCAATGTGATTTTGATATAATTTCTGGCTTCTGCTAAGATATTTTAGCTCACGAAATGCGGGAGGGTACAAAAGCTGGACCCCCTCATCTGGACCCCCTTCTGGACCTCCATCTGGACCCCCTTCTGGACCCCCTTCTGGACCCCCTTCTGGACCTCCTTCTGGACCCCCTTCTGGACCCCCTTCTGGACCTCTCAGAATATAAAATAAATTCAAAATAGGGATTAAAATAAATACTTTGCAGAAATAATGATTTTCATAAATAATAGATTTTAATTTATGGAAGTGGGCCTAGTTGCGAAGTAGTCTTGTGTAATAGGTTAGACAGGTCACTACTTTATATTAGATCAAAAGAATAGTTTCGGCCATGTTAGGGTCAGGCATATTTCGAGTTACGGATAGTGCGCCATATTTAGCGTTTTTATATTGTTATTATCGTTGATGCACTATCTCCTTGCAAGATGAAGTAACAACAAACTATAACTTGGCGGGGAAAAAATAATAGCATGTTGTGCTTCCTTATTCTGTGACCTTGTTTAAAGGGTATGGGCAATTTTATTCATTTTATTGCTTCATCTGAAAGTGCATGAAAAAATAAGCCGCTTGGCCGTTTAATGCTCTATTCTATCTCATCTAGTTCCGAAGTTATATGCAAAAATGTGCAAAATATAAATTGCTGATTCAGCACAAAGTGTGACGTCATTAGCTGGTAAGAATGTTTATTGAATACTACACTGAAGCATAATGGCTCAGTTATTATGGGATCAAATCAAATGACATTCTGCATGCAGATAGTACATGATGAGACCCATGGAAAAACACTTCTAATTTTGTTGCCAAGGTAACAATGTCGTTCCCAGGTCCCTTGCGCCAATTTTATAAAACAGCTTTATTTATGGTACTGATAAAAATAAAATAATATCAGAAGTATGTGTACCATATCTATGCATGCCAAAAGTTTACTTGTTTAATAATAATTCGAAAATGACATACACATAGATAAATGCAACTAGTTATTCAAAATCAGTGTAAGGGGCCTGGGGACGACTGTGTTGCCTTGACAACGAAATTAGAAGTATTTTTCCATGGGTCTCATCATGTACTATCTGCATGCAAAATTTCATTTGATTTGAGCCCATAATAACTGAGCTATGCTTCAGTGTAGTATTCAATAAACATTCTTACCAGCTAATGACGTCACACTTTGTGCTGAATCAGCAATTTATATTTTGCACATTTTTGCATATAACTTCGGAACTAGATGAGATAGAATAGAGCATTAAACGGCCAAGCGGCTTATTTTTTCATGCACTTTCAGATGAAGCAATACAATGAATAAAATTGCCCATACCCTTTAAACAAGGTCACAGAATAAGGAAGCACAACATGCTATTATTTTTTCCCCGCCAAGTTATAGTTTGTTGTTACTTCATCTTGCAAGGAGATAGTGCATCAACGATAATGACAATATAAAAACGCTAAATATGGCGCACTATCCGTAACTCGAATTATGCCTGACCCTAACATGGCCGAAACTATTCTTTTGATCTAATATAAAGTAGTGACCTTTCTAACCTGTTACACAAGACTACTTCGCAACTAGGCCCACTTCCATAAATTAAAATCTATTATTTATGAAAATCATTATTTCTGCAAAGTATTCATTTTAATCCCTATTTTGAATTTATTTTATATTCTGAGAGGTCCAGAAGGGGGTCCAGATGGGGGTCCAGAAGGGGGTCCAGATGAGGGGGTCCAGATGAGGGGGTCCAGCTTTTGTACCCTCCCCTTAAATACGTCCGAATTTATCATTATGATAAACTCGCGGCACATTT